TAAGATTTTACTTAGCAAACGTCCCCCTTGTAAGATACAAAGTAAATTTTTATTGTGAGCTTTCGATCTTTAATGGTCACAATTTCTTTTTATTTGCGGTGCATTTTGAAAACGAGAAAGAAAGTAATAATTACATTACCTACAGTTTTTTATATATTAATTAAATGTTATTACAAATGTTTTTAGGTCAAGTTTACAATCTCTTTTACTCAGTTGCTACTATTGAATAATAAGTAATTGATTACGATTTTGGAAATTCATGGCGTTGCAACAACGTGCGTTTTTAGTGCGTCAGTTATTAGAATTCAATTGAAATCAGTCTTTGCAGACAACTATCGGCGAAAAGCGTTTTCATTTGGCCTTACAGTTGCGAAATTCGTCTATGTTTATAAATACACGTATATATTTGGTTTCTCAATGAAATAAGGACAATAAGGACACGTTCGGTTTTATGATAAACGTGATGGCACGTTTTGAAATGCCTCATGCAGTAAAAAGGTATCTATTCGAGATGCAACAGCAATGTTAATAGATAACGCTTCTAGCTTTCAAAATAAATAAATACACGGCGCCTGAAGGTTGCTAAATTTAAACTGTGATTGTTTCTGATATGACGTATTCGAAATCAATTTTTGAAAGTTTCAAAAGCATGGATATTTGATGATCTCATAAATGTACAATCTTCGTGAAAATGTTTGCAATCTTCTCATTTCGCTTCCTCTTACGTTTTTATGTCTTAAATAATACTGTCAGGCATCAGAAGCAAGAAAGTAGAAGAAAACCTCAAGTGGAACAAAAACACATGCAAAAAATATGTAATTCTAAAAAAATCTAACAAACTTCATGTGTTAGAATTTATCAATACCCTATTCTACAGTTTACTTCTCGTCATCACTACCATAATCTTAGGCTGAAAATACACATTCACTTCTTCCTACTTTGAGGATATCTGAAAAGTGGAACATCCCACCTTCCTAACTATCTGCGAACAGTAGTCTAATCTAGTTCTTCTTTTGTCCCTCTTTAATCTTACTTCTGCTTCTAATATTTATCGGAGTATCTCTGCAGGTCTTAAATGTCCTATCATCTTCTCTCTCCTTTTTTTTTAGTGTAGGACCCTTTGTTCTCCTACTATTTTTAATACCTCCTCATTTCTAACGGTTTTTATCCACGGTAAATCGTCAACAAAAAAGTATTATTTAGATTGAATTGAATTAATATCGTCCATTATATTACAATTTTTTTGTGCCCCACTGTATGATGCATTATGCATAAGAACTTGTTTAACTTTTTCCGAAGTCTGTGAATAAAATAAAATATGTGTTATGAATGCATTATACATATTATGTATACACATAGTAACTTTTTGAAATTAAATTGACTGATTAGTTTTGCTTATTCTTCCAATGGGTATATTATTTGAAATTTATTAACAATTATACTGTACGTACATACACATATATATAAAAATAGTAAATAACTGAATGTTTTTAAGTTGAAAATAGACGTTAAGTAATTTTCATTTTCATTATGTATTAATTTTTTTATATAGTAAATAGTTTGTATGCTAATTATTAATGCTGATATGTCGTCAACCGGCTATTAAAAGTCAATTGGAACAAGACAGGGCACCTTTCATTTTTTCTTTTTATCTTTCGATTAAAGGGAACTACAAGCTTTTTGAGAAGCAATTAAAAAGTCTACCTTTATTTTATGCTTAATGACTCAACTGGGAAAGTATTGTAGATAATACAGATATTAGAGAGACTTATCATCATGCCATTTAGCAATTCGCTTTCTTCGTTTTATATTTCCGTAATCAGATATCAGATTTACAACAAGGAAATGTGTGATCTGTTAGTTGTTAATTTACCATTTATCTGTTATTAGTGCTACATGTAGGACATATTACATGGGCTTTTCTTATTATACATAGATGCTTGCATACACACTTACATACGTATATACTTACACACACACACACACACACACACACACACACACACACACAAATAGATGATTCTTGCGAAATTATCCATTAGATAACACATCTTTTTTTTTTTAACTTTTGCTTCAAGACATTTACATTATCTATTGAATATGTACACACAAATATTTACAGGTATTCACACACGTAATTCAATATTTATTGGGACAATTGTTCGTATACGTATACAGGGTGATTCACCCAAGCCGTTAATTAAAGATAGAGAAATGAAAGTTGTAGTACCTAGTAGGTATTGGATGTTTTCTAAAAATTTGGTGGTCGAATATGTTCTTTTTAACAAAAAAAAAATTCGTGGTCATTCAACTTCCAGTTGTACTACAAGTGGTTGTTAATTATTTTATTAAATTAATATTGAATTTTGGAATTCTGCACTCAAATTTAAAGCAGTTTTCACCTCTAACCCAATTCTACTTTAAAAAATTTGTGCTTGTTTTAAAAATTCCATGCTTACAACTAGTACCTACCCACTGTTGCTTGTGCACCATTACATATGTGCAAGGTATGAAGGTATTGAAAACTTAATGTCAATTTTGGTAAACATCAGAGCCTTATAAATTATTATTTTAATGGAATACCCTATGTGATTCAAAGTTCCTAAACTCGTCTAAAATATTAAAAATTAACCAAGTTAATACTTTCGTGATGATCTGTACTCTGTACAATAAAAAGATTAAGAGTTGCTCACATGTTCAAACATGTGTTAGATAATGTTACCTAATAAAAATATAATAGGAAATTATAAGAATTTATTTAAATGCTTAACTATGGCCAACTAATAAACAAAATTAATATTCTTTATTTTTTACCGATTACTTTTGCCTATCTAAAATATGGCAATTTGGTAATGAATATTTATTTGGACAATAGAGATTGATTTTTATTAAGATTATTTTCACTATTATTTTTACTGATTACGATTAAAATTACTTTTTTGTACGTTTTATTTCATTTTGCACCCCATAGTTCAATTTACGACGAATCAGCTGCTTTAGAGTTCCAATTAAGGGCAAGTTGTCGAGAGATTGAGAATTTGAAAAAGGAATTAGATGATGTCATCAGGGAAAAAGAATGTGCTAGCAGAGAAAATTGGTATTTACTTATTTTATTTTATTACTGTCAAAGTTATTTAGAATTAGAAAGGACGTTGTATTAAGTTTCAGTAAAAATATATCCATGCATCTTAACTGTTACGTAAGAGAAAAATTAAAGCATTTGGTGATCAAAAATTTGTAAATGGTAATGCATTTAGAGCTGTTGTTTTCGAGATGTTCTTATTGTTAGCATTTTCTTGACTGCACTTTTTTTTTATTTCTTATTTTTCTATGTGATTGTAAGAAATTGTAATCGTCTGAAATCCTCCCCTTCATTGAAGTCAATCACTTTTTTTTTGTAAAAATAAAAGCTAAGTTGCAATACCATTAATTGAAAATGAAAAAGTCCCCTATAACTGTTCAAGAGTAGTCTTTTTAATTCAAAACAATGTGGCAATTAATATATTTAATTATTTAGTCGTTTGATGGCCGAAATTGCTGCAGCAAGAGCAGATGCTAGAAAATCATCAAATGAATTAGAACATGCACATCGGCAAGTTGAAGACTTGAAAATGCAATTGCAAGATTATGTAAGAGAAGTCAAAAAGTACGAAGATGCATTGTCGCAGAAGGTATCTATCGTTTTTACAAGTACATAGGTATCTCAAATTAATAAGACAATGCAACCATTTATTTTTTGCAGGAGGCAGAAAGAGCTGAGCTATTGGAGCAATTCAAGGATCTTAGCAATAAGCACGCTCAGCTAACAAATAATAAACAATCAGAAGAGGAGAGTGCTAATAATCATAAAGTTCAATTATCAGCAACGTTAGAGCACGTTGCGACTTTAGAAAGAAAAATAGAAGGGCACGAAGCGATGGTATGCAGCTACGAGAAACAGGTAGGCACATTACATAATTTTTTAGATTAACACTTATTAATTGGATTCTTATTGGTTAGATAAAAGAGATGAATCACCAAATGGCCAGTATGGAGATGCTGGTTCAAGAACTGAAAAGGGAGCGAAACTGTTTGGAAATGGAGTTGGATAGATGCCGTGAATGTAGCAGCCAACTTGATAAACAGAAAGAAGAAATATTATCACAATTGTGTTCAAAACGAAGCGAACAAGCCCAGGTAAAGACTGGCTATACTTTTATTCTATTTTTTTATTAAAAATTTTGTATAATAACCGTATGTATTTTTCATCCAAAATTGGTTTCTCTTTTGTGCTTCTGTTATTTATAATATTTATTTCAATCCTACCCCATGTTTTAAAGTAAAAAATAAAAGTATGAGAATTAAAGTTCACCTCAGTAGAGTCGTGCGATGTTTTTTAATTTCTCTATCTTAAAAAAACAAAAGGGTATTAATTGATAATTATTGAACAAAGGTAAGAAACAGCTACACAAAATCAATAAAACGGACAGACTGTAATACGTTTTGTGGCTCCTCCAGATGTGCCAAGAACTGGAAAAACTAAGAGGCGAAAGTACAACACTACACAGAAGGGTCGAACGGGAACAGACTTCTTGCGAGAGGGTGGAAAGGCTCTTGTGCGAAAATAGGAAAGAAGCTGTGGAACTTAAACTCGTAAATCAGGAACTTCTATGTGAAGTAGACAGACTAAAGAAAACTGTGGATGAGTTACAAGAGAAAATGTAAGTTTTCTTATTAAACGTTTCACCTTCTATTTATGTAAATATTTATCGGTTTAGTTTTCACTTTTTTGAAAGAATCATTACTAAAAAATTCAATATTGAAATCTTATATTATAATAAACAGAAAAAGTGGGAATTAACAGTGGTGTTTTTTTGTTTGAGATGGGAATTTCTTTATTAATATTTTTACAGTGATCGATTAGAGGAACACCTGGATATGTACCAACAAATTTCTTCAGTACGGTCGGATAGAAGGGATGTAGATGTAGGGGATGGGGATAACAGATTTCCATCTCCTTAAGTTGACCTCCCTTACTAGAATTAATTTGTTGAAATAACGACGTAACAGAGAGTTACTGATTTTTTCTAATTCATTTTTTAAATTATTTATTTATTTAAATAATAGATGCAATAAAANAGTAACCTAGAGGGTTCAGACATAGTACTCAGGCCTGATGGGTCGAGAAATCCCATCGGTTTATTCGTCATAACCTAATCGTTTCTTATATATATTATAATTTCTTATAATGAAAGTAACTTCCTTTGTAGAAGATGTATATTACTTATAATTTGTTAATAATAATTTGTTATTGAGGCAATTCCATTTCGTAAGTTCTTTTAAAAGAAATTCTATCCCCATGGCCTTAATTTTTGTAAACTTTTATGAGAAAATCACTGATTGTTATATAAGTATGTACTGTGTTTATGATTTGTTGCACTATGTGTTTTAATTTTATTGAGTATTTGAGAAGCACATTCCAACAAGTAATTTATTAAGTTAGTAATATTTATACGTAGGTAAAACTTGAATAATTATATTTGACTGAATAATAGCTGTATGTGAATATGTTCAATTTGTTATTCCTGTTATTACCACATTATCTTAATAATTGTATTATTAATCAATTGACTTTCTATTTTTTTTATTATAGAATTTCCTTTTTAACTTAATTTTTAATTATTACAAATCCTCTTGTCCATAGTTCTTCTGAAATGTGGTAAGTACCAAACTAAAAAATTATGTAGGAATGTGGTTTATTTTTAGGTATTTATAATTTAATTGAACGGAGCACATTGAAATAGTTTATTTAATTCTAATTTTTCCTCAAAAAGAATGTTTTTAATATTTCTCATCATTTTACAAGAAAATAATCAATAAACTAAATAGAAAACTCCCTCATTACTACCAAAGTTTTCCTTGCGGACAGACACGTGTTTTGGATTTTAATGTGAGGGGGTTTCCTGTTTTTCTTTAGTTTATTTATTACTTTATGTAGTCTTCGTTTTTTACTGAGAGGGTCAATGTTAATTTTAATAAAATCTAGTTAACTTTCAAAAATTAACTTTTTAGTTTTACGGAAAAGCCAAAATCAACGTCGACTGTTGAGTCCGGTTCGACTTGTGACTGTAGTTCTTCGGATTGCTACCATAAGCTAGGCCGCCATGAAGAAATATCTCGTACCCATTTCAAAAGGAAGCATCACCGACATTCAGACTCCAAAAAATCGGATCCAGAAAAAGCAAACAAAAAGAAGGGTGGCGTGTGCAAGTATTTCAAGAAGACTGAATCAAAAGACAAAGCCAAAGAGACCCCTGTTCGATCAGGATTCTCGGATACATCGTTTAATGATAAGAAGCATAGGAAGGGTGGAGCACCTCAAAATATAGAAAGTTCGAAAAAGAACAGAAGTCGCTCAGTGCAAGAAAAAGTATGTAATGAAAGAGAGCAAGAAGTGCCAGGAAAGTGTGACTGGTATCCCCCAAAGAAAGTATCCCTCCTGTTGTCTCCAAGTGATACGAAGAGACCCTCAAATAACGAAACACTTCCATTTGAACTTAAATGTCCTGTCCTCAGTCAAAATAAATGTGCTAATCAAAATAAATGCGCCAATCAAAGTAAAACCGTTACTCAAAATAAATGTGCCAATCAAAGTCAATATACTTCAGCTCAAAGTAAATGTGCCACTCAAAATAAATGTGCCACTCAAAATAAATGTGCCACTCAAAGTAAATGTGCCACCCAAAATAAATGTCCCACTCAAAATAAATGCGAAGCCGATTCTACGATATTCAAAAAACGCCTTTGCTGCGATAATTTATAAAAAAAGTCTTGAGTACCTGCACCAGCAAAAATATATAACAATAAAGTACAAATATTTAGTGGCCGATAAGTAAACAGATTGTAACATTTTTTGAAACGAATTAAAGAGTAGTTATTTTTAATTGATATAATTTTATATAATAAACTCTTAAAGTATAAATGTGTGCTTTACTTTGAATAGAACTTGCAGAGAAGGAATTGTGAAACTCGTTTTTAAAATCAATTAAATGAAATACATAAAAGAGAAATACTTTTAAATATTTTAGTTGTGTTTTATTTAAACATTCTGCATGTTTCGAGATTCTACTGTAAACATATAATTTTGACAAAGATTTAGAAGGTTGAAACATGTAAAGTGCTTGAATAGAATATAACTGATGATGAAACGTTTAGAAGAATCTTGACCTTTTAATTTAATTAACGTTGAATGTCTCATAATACAAAGAAATTGTTGTAAAATTTTCTAGTCTGTGATGTTCAAGAAAAATACAGTATATTGATCTTGCATATAACAATTCATTGTCTAATACTTTAAAACAGCTTGTGTTTCTTCTCTAAAAATTGTAAAAACAGTAAACATAACCTATAGAAATTCTATTATTAACAGCTTTGATTGGAAGTATCTAATCAACTTTGAAGTTACACTAGTATTTTAATTATAATTAAAGCTCGGTCATCTTATCTTCCATGGTTTCTATACAATTTTAAAAAATTTTGACAATTAAAATGTAAATAAATGACGTCACGTAATTGATCTAATATAGTCCGATTAATGGCAATTTCTCGACAACATTTATATTCATGAATAAAATTCTTATTTAATATTTAAGTTACAGCATTAAAAATAACTCCAGTGGTGTATAGAAGCTTGGGGAACTTATCTAATATACAAACGTGAGGAAATGTGCTACAAATATGTTAATTAATAAAGATGTTGATCGTACTATACATGGATTATAAGTTGGCGGGAATCTGCGCAAAACTATGAAAATAGATCTTATGTGACTTATGCTCTCCTAATACAAAATTTTGAAATTATAAGACTCAAACCACAATACGCATCCACCAAAATTTTCAATTATTTACTGGAAACCATAAACAATTTTATGTTTCATGGAAATTCGTATATTCTATTATTGGAAGTAATTGATGAAAAGGGATTAATTAATTTATTGCAGGATTTTAATATATAGAACCCTCTCCTTATATACATTTTGAACTTTAAATTAAAAAAAAGGAAAAAGTAAAATTTATTATCAAAAATAAAACATATAATTGAGTATTTAGTTTGTTTTTTTATTGAATTAAACACAAAATGCCAGCAAAAATTACATTTTCATGCACAAAACTGATCCAAAAGGTAGCTTTACACATGAGTCCATTTTAGTCCAATAAAAAAAAACAGCATTATTTCGCAAAAATAAAGCTAACGGGAGTGTATATCATTTATTGAATAACCATCGATATCAGATATCATTTAATGATGAATTAAGTTGTTTAGATTCCTATACGTGGGGTCGATTGTGACTGGAAAAAAAGTAAAAAATGCCATAAATCAGTTTTTGGCAGAAATAAACCAAGCCATAGGTAAGTTAAATCATTTGTTGATTAATCTTGAATTTTATTCATAATATAGCGTTTTCTTTTGTCTAGAAGAAAACGCAAAAAACTGGAAAGAATAACTACAAAACGACTCACTTTGAAAATCTATAGCTGGACTAGTCATCCATAGATGTTGCTCGTTAGGTTTGTGAGAAGTGTACGAGGGACCTTTATAAAGAAATATACAGGCATATTAAATAATTTTTATTGTATAGATATTATAAAGCATTACAAACATATACATGGATGTACAGTCTCATGATATTGTTAATTTTATACTATTGGAAATTGGAACAGTGTATTACTGGTCTGTACACAGAAAAAAATATATTAGCTGAGAAGGCCAGCTCATCCGTGCCTAGCCTTTTAAGTTAATTTAACGATAAAATGAATCATTAATAATTCTCTCTTAATTGTATTTTATTAAAATAAAATAAATAAAAAACCAATCCACAAATAACAAAGTTTTCTACATACGACGGAGTATAATACTCATACTTCACAACACAAAAATTCTAAAAATTAATAAAAAAAATAACATTTTCGCTTCTTCATTTACCTCACACATAACTTCACTAATAACCTATCAGAAAAAATTAGTCTTTTCTATCGATAAATCTAAACTTCAAGGGACGTGTGGGAAACGAAATAAATTTGTTGGTGCTTAAAATATCTCCATAGTAGTAGTGAATCTTGAACTTTTGAAGAACCTGTAATAATAACAAATCTTTAAATATGTACAACTAGAAACTGTTTTTATAAAAAACCAGATCAGTTTGATAACAAAAACTTAAAAGAATTTTTATTATTTGATTTGCATTAAGTCGAAATTAAAATTTAAAGTTAAATATTTAATAAAGTAAAATAAATTTAGTATAAATATTACTTCTGTTAAAAGTTTTTCGTTGTTTTATTATTAAGTTAAAAATTAAATCTGAACAATATTTACCTTAGAAACCAAAAGTCCAACTTCTATTTCAGCCAGTTCACGTGCCAAGCAGGCCTTTGGTCCGAAACCATATGGAATGGTGGCCAAAGTGCTCACACTACGATCGATACTTGGATCCAACCAACGTTCAGGTCTGAATCTGTCCGCGTCGTCGAAATATTCTTCCTTTAATCCAGCCAAATGACTTGCAATCAGTACGTAAGTTCCTCTCGGTATTCTAAGTTCAAAAAATAGCAGTTTTTAGTCAACAATGAAATTGAAACATACCAAAATTAACTGTAAAGTATAAATTGTGTTGACTAAAAAAGTTCACTTACTTGTAATTATTGACAACGACGTCTTTGTTTAATATACGTGTTAATAATGGCATTGGGGGTTTGAGTCTCAGGCTTTCCTTGATGCACGCCTTCAAATAAACCATCTTGTCGAAAGCAGATTTTGTAATTGAGCCATCACTTGAAACGCTCTTCTTCACCTCCTCGTAGAGAATGTTTTGGGCACGTGGGAACCTCGCCAAATGGTACATTAGGAAACCAACGGCGTGCGACGTTGTATTCACACCAATAAGTAACATATCAAGCATTACAGTCATTACATCTTCCGGTAACATACCGTCCTTGATTAGCAGTCCTTCCATTAGGGATACATCTGAAGGAACAATTGAATTCGGGTCCTTCTCTTTGCGTTCACGCAATGTCGCTTGGGCTTTACGAATATACTTATTCACTATCGAATCAATAGAATCGCAATGTTTTGATAAGTTGCGCCATGCTGGTGTTTCTATCAGTTTCCAAAAGTGCATACCTTAAATAGAAACAATTATTACGAGAGTTCCTATACTTGTTCAGCATGAATTTGTATAGAAAAAATAGAGAGGGTGATTGTTCTCCTTTGACACAAAATTAAAAATTTACATTGGGTTTTATAAAAATTAAAAATAAATCAATGTCAAAACTAGAATATTTTACATAGAAAAACATCCTAATATCTTTACTCACCACTTTCACATTTTCTGATGCCTTCAGTAGCCCCAATGAGACTTTCAAGTAACCTAGAGGGTTCAGACATAGTACTCAGGCCTGATGGGTCGAGAAATCCCATCGGTTTATTCGTCATAACCGTCCACAAGCATTCAACCGCCCATTTATTGATCTCTTGAAGAAAATTCGATGGTACCTCTTCCTGTTTATTACGAATACGGCCAATACGTTGTGCAAATTCCTCACTAATCTTTTCCAATCTGCTGAATTGTGCAGTACTGGAATGTGCCAAAGATGTCTCGATTGACGAGCGCAACTTCTCCCATTCCTGACCGTACCTATCAAAAATTATATTTAAAGGCATTGGATTACAATAAAAAGAAAATGTACTGTACATCAAAAATGGTCCTGCTTGTCTGTACTTGCGATATTGCAGTCGATACTTTTCGATGCAGTCAAAGCAGGACCTAACTGGATAAGGACCTTCGTTTTCGAAAATAGCCGAAGCAAGTTCGGGACGGCACAAAATGACCACATCACCGCCCAGGGGACCACTAAGTCTTACCACAGGTCCATATTCATTCATAAAGAAGTGAAATAACCACGTAGGACTACCCCAAGTAACTTGTTCACCTTAAAAATAATATATCCAATAATTGGATGTTAACGTACAGGCTAAAATGAGGAATAGAGTGACGTAATAAAAAACTCACGAGCATTAAGAACATATTGAAACATAGTTCCGGCAAGTTGGGTCCCTACTATAGGCAACAGTCCCCAAACTTTAGCAAAGGCATAAAGAGATCTTGGGCCAGGGACATCGTCAAAAGGTAAGGGTGCCTGTTGTACAACTTTCTCTTTTGTCGATACGTCGAAGATAGCAGTTGTATGGGATTGGTCAAAAACTACTTTCTGAACATCGTCCGATGTGGCGAAGCTCTTACTCGTTGGGGTGACAATTTCATACGAAGAGGGAGCATGCGAATCGGTTTCCTTTTCTGTATTATTCGACATAACTATGTTATTTTTCTCGTTACCAAGTCAACTAATTTAATACTACTAGCAAACCAAATTTATCAGTAGGTGTATTATGAAGAAATATTTTTAAATTTGCAAAATAAAAATATCAAATTATCAAATGAACAATATTACTTAAAGATATCACATGTAATCCATTATCTTAATTTACTAATAATCCACAGATAAAAAATATAGTATATTGGAAAAAAAATTAATTAAGCAATATTGATTACAAGATAAAACTATATGGACGATATAGCTGGAAACGTGACTTACCTCCAGGAAGGGGATAATCTGCAGTCTTGGGATTAACATCAGCTAAATTTCGTAGAAAAAGAGTTTTCTTTGAAAATATACCATTTAAATTAATTCGCGCGAGAGAATTAAACCTATACATTATTAAATAATCACTCACAAAATTGATTATTTAAATACTTTAGTTTCACAAAAATACTACCTGTACTTTCGTTACTACAAAACAATAATTAACATCACTTGTTTTTTCCCCGCTTACTTAATTTGACACGAACTAATTTTCTATTTTGTTTGTGTTAATTCTTCTATAATTTACGATCAAAAAAAATTATAGAAATACAATATCTTTTTATTTGATCTAGAGTTGAAAATTACTTTTGATTGCTTTGAAATAGGAATAGGTAAAAAATATCTGTATTAATAAACCTTTCGGTAATATTATATTCATACATACAAAAAAATGTACTACATAATCTATNGTTTTGGATTTTAATGTGAGGGGGTTTCCTGTTTTTCTTTAGTTTATTTATTACTTTATGTAGTCTTCGTTTTTTACTGAGAGGGTCAATGTTAATTTTAATAAAATCTAGTTAACTTTCAAAAATTAACACCAAATAGATGTTGGCCTCCACTGTCGACAAAATGTAGGTGCATTGTTCCTAATTAAAAAAAAAAACTATATTAATTAGTTAATCAAAAATTTACTATGGCCGATAATAGCAACAATACGGCAACAATTAAAATATTATAATGGCCGACACTGGCAACAATACAACAATTAAAAAGTATGATGGCCGATAGCGGCAACAATACGGTGACAAATAAAAAAGTGTAATGGCCGCCAAGAAAAACAATACGACAACAATTAAAAAGTATAATGGCGGACATTTAGATCATATTTGTAGAGACCTCGTAATTTACAAAAACCCAGTAATATTATATGAACGAAACACTTACCTGTAAACTATACTTGTAAACAATTTTATCGGGCAATAACAACTCTTGTCCTGTGTCTACAATCATTTTAAGGACCATTTTCACGTCAGGAGTGATTCTCTATGAAAAATAATAAGAAAAAGGTACTTAAGTAATAAATAATACTTTTTTACGACGAATCTAGTAAAAATTTATCTTACAAATTAGTTGAAGAATCGTTGTTTTTTTTAATGCAAATTAAATAATTATTATAAAAAGAAACAACAAAACAAACTATGAATTAAAATAAATTACTTATTTTTAGAAGGGTATAAACTCCTTTCGCTTTTCTTTAAAGCACTTACAGGGGGATAACAGGTGATTACAGGAAAATTCTCATAATTTGTAACATCACAGCTAACTTGGTTATCAGATAATAACATAATTGATAAGGCATCGTACTTCCTCTGAAAAGCCACAATCCTAAAAAAAGATTAAACGTTTTCCCTCAAAAAAAAAAAAAGAAATATAAAAACTGCTCTTTCGCTTACTTCTGATAATAGTCATATTGCAATTTAGAACTGTGTTGTTTCATTTCGCTGTGCGTTGTATGTTGGGCAAGAGTATCATGAAAATAGAGACTAAATTTACTAAGAACGGCCCCTTTAAACTTAAGAAGCCATTGGCAGAGGGCTGGTAAAGGATTATTCTTCAAAAAGCCTAATTTCCATGTCTAAAAATATTTTTTCTTAATAATGCAGCCTTTAATTGAGGAAAAGGAAGACTATGTGCAGAACACATCATTTTTTTTTTGTGAGCAAGTATTATTTTTACCTCTTTATTTTGTATTTTATTCTCCCATGCAGCAAGTCTTGCATGTGCCCCATGGATAAGAGCTAACGATGGCAAAAACTGCAATCTTTGAAGTTCATTTAGAGCCTTAAACAACTGTTCTAATATTTCACACTCCATGTTAAAAACAGCCTTCAAAGGTGCCATGCTAATGTCTGCAAACCCCAAGGAATGCTTTTGTATTAAATTTTCAATTTGTATGAGATTTTCATTAAATTTTAAATGTTTTCCTAGCCCAGACAAATAAACTTTCTCATAACTATCAATAAAATAAGAAAAATAAAAATTATTTTCTTTACATTTGTTCTTTCTCATATAAAAGGATACAAATCCATTACATTGATGCGGGCTTCTAGAAATTGAATAATGTTCTGACAATAATTTATGACAGGTCTATCTTGAGCAGAGGCATCTTCCAAACGCTTTATATCTTGCTTTAATGATTCATATATTGACTTTAACGAATTCTAAAAATAATTGGTATATACTCGACACAAGAATTGATTATAACAATATATGAGCACTTACATCTTTGCGGAGAAAGCTTTTATTTTTATTTTGGAGAAATCCAATTTCCACATAATTTTTCTCAGCTAAAGAAATGTGACCTAACTGAGTTAGAAATAAAACCCATGTTGTTGTTTGTGAGATTCTTTGGGCTTCCTTTTCTTTNACAAGCTTGAGATATTAAATTAAAATAATTATAAACAAATTCGTCTTGTTTTTCCATTTTCGATGTTATTTACTACTTTTATTAGTTTATTTATTAATTGCAGATAACATTGTTTTGATAAATTCATTAGGTTATGTTTAATATGACGTTTAAATATTACCTTAAATTAATTAAGAGTAAATTTTAATACTGCAATAATCAAAAAATTGTAATGACCGATAATGGCAATAATGAAACTAGGATAATGGCCGACAGTGCCAACAATACAGCAACAATGAGAAATACATAATGGCCGACATCGGTAACAATACGGCAACAATTAAAAAATTATAATGGCTGATAGCGGCAATAATGAAACTAGGAAAATGGCCGACAATGTCAACAATGTAACAACAATTAGACAGGTATAATGGCCGACAGTAGCAACAATACTACAACAAATAAAAAGTATAATGGCCGCCGAGAGTAACAATAGGGCAACAATTAAAAAGTGTAATGGCTGACAACAGCAACAATTAAAAAAGTATAATGGCCGACTAAGGATACATGACCGATCATTAACGTAGACTTAATTTTAATAAAGAAGAACGCATTCTTTAACGGTATGCCACTACATCTACACATCTTCGTTAAAAAGTTAGGTTAGTTAAATGTCACTTACATAGAAATATGAAAAATAAAACGATTTAACAAACATTTTTTGGTGGATTTTATAATTAAAAGTGAGGTAAACTATTGAAGGAGATAATATTCTACATGCTTAGAGTCATAGTAATTAGTATAAAGATATAATAATACTAATTCATAAAGTTATTTCTACCCCAAAAATGAACGAAAAAAGATTTTCAAACATAAAATTAAATAATTGGCTTGTTCGTCAGTGTGCATCGATAGGTGACATTTAAATGAAAGCATTAAGTTAAGGATTATCATTATTATTTTACAGGTGTTAAACAACTTACTCAAATTCAAGAAAATTGCATACCTCAAATTCTAGACGGTAAAGATGTAGTTGGTGCTGCCAAAACAGGAAGCGGGAAGACGCTTGCATTTGCCTTGCCCATTTTACAAAAGCTTTGTGAAGATCCTTATGGAATTTTTGCTGTAATATTAACCCCAACAAGAGAATTAGCTTACCAAATAGCTGATCAATTCGCAGTCATTGGTAAACCCATGAACTTAAAGTGCTCTGTGATAGTCGGTGGTGTTGACATGGTTGCACAAGGACAGGAATTAACAAAGAAGCCCCATATTGTGGTTGCAACTCCAGGAAGACTTGCAGATCACATAGAAAGCTGTAATACATTTAATTTATCAAAAATTAAATTCTTGGTACTGGATGAAGCTGATAGATTATTGAGTGGACAATTTGATGAGCAGATAAAGACAATATTCAAAGTACTACCTAAAAAGAAACAGAGCTTATTCTTTTCTGCTACCATTACAGATGCATTAGAAAAACTGAAAGAAGTAACTGGAAATGAAGTATTTTTTTATCAAGCACCAAATGACATAGCTACAGTTGAGCAGTTGGAACAGCATTATGTTTTATGTCCCCATGATGTACGAGATGCATATTTGGTGGAGACTATTAGGACTTTTCGGATAAATAATGAATGTGGAAATATAATGATATTTACAGATACTTGCATGTAATTACTGCCATTGGAAAATGATTTTTAAATGCTTTACTTTTATTATTTATTAATTGTTTAATTTTCAGAAAATGTCAAGTTTTATCAATGGCTTTGAATGATGTAGGATTTGAAAATGTTGCCTTACATTCCATGATGCCCCAACAGCAAAGATTAGCCTCATTGGCAAGATTTAAATCTAACACTATTAAAATATTAATTGCAACAGATGTTGCAAGTAGAGGATTGGATATACCAACAGTAGAATTAGTTTTGAATCACAATGTACCTAAAGTGGCTAAGGAATATATTCATCGAGTTGGTAGGACAGCTAGGGCTGGAAGAGGGGGCAAGGCTATAACCCTCGTTAGCCCTTATGAAATTAAATTGCTATATGCTATAGAAAAGCTTATAAATACCAAATTAACTGAATTTAAAATTGATGGTAATATTTTTGAAAATTTTGAAATACTCTTATCTAATTGTTTAATTAATTAGACAAAGAAGTTGGGAAAATTTTTACTCAAGTATCAGTGGCAGAAAGTGAGGCGTTTATAAAATTGGATGAGAAGGATTTTTATGAAAAAAGATTGATAAATCTTCGAAAAAAATGGATTTTAGAAGGTAAAGATCCAGATGAAGAAGAAGCAAAGTTGTTAAAGAAAGGGAAAAAACGTCAAAGCTCCAAACATAAACGACATAAAAAGAAGAAAATTCAGAAGGATACAATAAAAGAAAGTAATAGTGAATTATATACAGATCATTTAAAATGTGATACATGAAAGAACAATAAATAAAATATTTTAAAAGTACATAAATGTTTAATTTTCATAATAAATAGACGATTTCTAATTAATTTTTCAAAGCTTCTGGGAAACTGTAGGCACCTAACTGATTTTATGGGAGTTTCTATTAATTCATTCGAACTTTTTTACTTAAAATATAATCAAAAAGCTAAATCATTGGTCCTACGAGATTCTATGTACTTTTTTACTGCCCGATTGGTCTTTATATTTTTGACTGTGGATTTCCATATTTGAAATATTTTTGACTGTGGAATTTGCTATACTCCTAATCAGTCGTCCACCAGGTCTGATAACGAAAGAGTACAATTTATTAAATTTTGAGATACATTACGAATATTTAAATATTGCGCCTTTCTAGCATTCCTACTTTATCGGCAGCGAAAACTGTATTTATGTCTGTATTCTTTTCCGGTAGAGTTTTCGCATAGAAGCCAGTAAATATTTGTTGCAAATAAATTATACTTTAAAACGTAAGTAATATATTGTTGATTTGAAAAATAAAATTTTGTTCTCATCGTTTTTTACATATATTAAAGTCGAGATCCAGAAAATTGTGTGGTTATTGTATAGCTCATTTCCATTGTAGGTTAACATATTCCACACGTGTTTTAGTATTTCGACGTTTAAAAATCATTATAATATTCAATTTTTTTTAAGAAAATGCCGTCAGTGACCCTTAAAGATGTGGACCAACATAAATTTGTAAGGGCGTTTTCTCAGTTTTTGAAAAAGTAAGTGTATGTATAACCTTTAAAGACCGTTCACATCTAATCATTCTGTTCACCTTTTTAGGAGCGGAAAACTGAAGGTTCCGGACTGGGTTGATATTGTTAAGACGTCTAAAGCAAAGGAGCTCGCTCCTTATGACCCTGATTGGTATTATACACGTTGTGCTGCTTTGGTTCGTCACATTTATCATAGGTCTCCAATTGGTGTTGGTTCTGTTACAAAAATCTTTGGTAGCAGAAAACGAAACGGCACATGTCCATCCCATTTCTGTAGGTCTAGTGGCAGTCTTGCAAGAAAAGCATTGCAGAGCTTAGAAGCCCTAAAACTGATTGAAAAAACACCAGATGGTGGTCGTAAGTTGACTTCCCAAGGCAGGAGGGATTTGGACCGTATTGCTGCACAAGTTAAAGCAAAAGAACGCAAACAACTAAAAGCTGGTGTTATAGTTTTGTAATGTAAGAACTTTTAATAAACTATTGAATCAACACATTTGGGTTTTAATTTTGGAAGGGAAAATATATCAGATTATTAAAATCTTCCAGTTATCATACAAAAATAAAGAAACAATAGAATAATAGTAAATGTGGTCATCTTACAAAATTAATATTGAAAAATCTTATTGACAATTATGTCTTTATGGAAGTGATAATTAAAACTTGATTAAATACTTTCAATTTGAACTATTGATGAAAAATGGGTTGCCTACGTATGAGCTAATAAGCTCAAATTCCCAAAAGAAAATTACAAAATATCAATTAATAATAAATGCTGGGAATACTTTTATGTTTTGACTGTTAATCCTTGCTTATTGCCAATTATGTCTTTATAAAAGTGTTAATTAAAACTTCATTAAATACTTTCAATTTGGACTATTGATGAAAAATGGGTTGCCTACATGTAAGTTAATAAGGTCAAATTCCCAAAAGAAAATTGCAAAATCAATTAATAATAAATGCTGGGAATACTTTTATGTTTTGACTGTTAATCCTTTAAGATTCTTGAACAATAGAAATAATTTCATAGTTATTGGTCTATTAAAATTGAATATAAAGAGTAAAACTTACACTTTAGCTTATGTTTCTGAAGTTATTTGAGGAAAGAAGAATAATGAAGTAAAAATATAATTACTTTACGGCTTTTAAAGAATGTACGACGTGTGAGACTTCACTTGATAAAAAAAAAAACATTTGGTATTCTCAATTTCTGATTCTACCAAAATTGAAAATAATTTTAATTTTGTAGAATAATCTTAAATAAGTTTAGAATTATTGAGTGATTAATAGCTTTTAAAGAGAGTAGATATATAACTTTATTACATTTTGAACAACTTGTTCTTTAATTATCACAAATAAATTAATAAAATAAATTGAGTATGTCAAAGTTTTTAGTACCCCTAACAAATGTATAGTTTCTATTATTGCGGTCTAAGTAATTTGTAAACTGTTCAAATAACTGTTAATACTATTAGCATATAAATAATTCAATTTGTTTTGTCCATTAAAATTGATGTTAAATAGGAAAATAAAAGAACGTTTAAGTTCTTAGCCAGAAATGAAATATTTCATTAGCGGCAAAATTCCACTAGATGGCGACATACTGTCTATACTTGGGTTGAGCTTCCATTTTCCACAATATTTAAAAAAGGGGAATATCAACGTTAGCCCATTTTACAAAAGAATAACTTCTACCCTAGTCACTACTAAGTAATAGCTACAAAACAGTTATTGATAATCACACTTGTGATAAATAGGATTTTTAGTAATTAAAATAAGCGTTTTTACAAATTAAAAGTATTTATTCAAAATTATTATAATTTCGACAGAAACCCATACAAAGTATACAAGAGTTATTGCACTGCATTACTGGTTGTTTTCCCGAGATTCTTTTATCACAATTTACCATTTTTTTTATCAAATAAATTAAGGCACATTACAATGTGCAACATTTGCCATCTTTATCATCGACAAACCACATTTAAGTAGGAAAAGAAAATCAGTAGAGCAGTACAATTTTGATCTTTTATGTTTAATACCCAAATATAATACGATACAAAAACACGATAAAAAATCACAGGACCCCCAACTTCATTGAAATTATAAACTTGCTTTTTTCTTCTGATGCTTACATTAGAGTAAATATGAGGAGAATATTTTTATTATTTTTGCACAGCACATATGAGCCTTCAGTCGACATTGAGAGTGCGTTGAAAAATAAGACACAATTTTCTTAGTTGTAAACACCCATACACATAAGTCGTACATTTTTCGATACAATGTGTAATATTTTATTTAAACAAATTTGAATGATATTCAGTGCGTTAATTTACATCAAAAAACAATTATAGAATTGTTTATAACAAAAAAAATTGGTCAACCTTATAGAATATGAGACTTTAAAACAGTTACATCAACCACTAAAAACAGAATAGCGATTAATTCATCTTAATTACTGTGAAATAAATAGGTCAGGAAACAATTTTTAATTATAAATTGAAAGGCAAAAACAAAAACAAAAGATTATTTGAGATAATAAATAGCGAAACCCTAAAATTTCCATCACAACAGTTATTTTTTTTATATAAAATTCTATTTATTTTTAAACTTTGTGTAACATATGTATACGCATTATTAAACCGTTTTCTGTAATTTTTAAACTCATGATATATGTATAATATACATTATACGTATCTAAGATCTATGAAAAATAAATACATAGTAGTTGATTATACATGTTTTAGATTTTTAAACAGTAAATGAGCATGAAAAAACAAATACTGAGCTTTTTGTACGAATTAATACGTTTTGTCTAAATTAATTGTATTTTAAAGTATTTTTGTAGAAGCTTTGGCAGCGAAATTTTTCTAAGGATATTTTAGTAATTAACATTTACTCTACGTAAGATTGAGTTTTATAAAAGGGATTTTTTAAGGCTACAAAAACATTTTTGGATTTAAAGTAGGTAGTGATTATTAACAAGTAACAATTTTTATGAAACTAGCTATCTAAATAGGTAAGCTTCTAAATGGAGTATTTTATCGGTTTAATTTTTCACAATTATTTGCAAAAAATAAATAATTAAGTTCACTGATATTGGTGAGCATAGAGTCAAGTAAAAATGTTTTGTTCTTTGGCACACATTTTGTACTTGACTGAACGTTAGAACGACAGACGGCACAAAAATGTTAACACAATCTTTTGACGTTAGGCTTTTTTATTTTATCTTTTTCTTAACCTCGATAGATATTTGAAAAGATAAAAGTATAAAATATTAAGAGATAACAAACAAATCATTAATATTATATAAGGTAGGTATTTGTATTTACTTACCGATGAATGGACTATTAGAGTGAGGGGGGGGGTAGTTTTTTTAAGCATATGTAACATCTACTATTATATCAAGTAAAACTATTTACAAAGTAGTTTGATGGGAACCGGCTTCCAGGGACGGGTCGAGACTATTTTGTCTTAGCCACTGCCTAAGGTTTCTTGTTTTCTCTACCAAAGTAGTGGTGGCGCCTTGGGTATCATGGGTGACCATGGTGCTTTGGGCATTGGCGAGAGCTATATGCTGCCTGTAGTTCTGCAGGCGATCGGCTAGGGTTGGGATAGAAGGGGGCACAGGGCCAGCTGTTCCTGATAAAATAGGCCATCCTAAATCGGGGTAAACGAGGGGAAGTGGGGTCATAACTGCCGAAAATAAAAGACGTTAGGGGATAAAGAGAATAGGTACTAAGTTTGTGTCTTTTGATTTGCTGATAGAAAGGGACAAGGAAGTGAAGGATGGAAAGATAATTAAAGCAAATAGTTTTTTATAATCTATGCTTGAAGCTTTTATGGAAACACAGCGGAAGCCCTTACGTGCAGAGAAAGATGATTTTGATGTGGCATTCAAATATGTAAAGAAATATCGAAAATGTTCACCTGTGGCAATGCTGCTAATATGCTGCTGCTTATTCAGCACTTCCCAAATTTCTCGTATTTCCGAATTTAAGTTTTCAAGGCTCTGAATAATTTCGGATGATTCCTTAAATTGTGAATTTTTGGCCTGCGAAGGCGATTCACCTGCCACAAATTCTGTTGAGCTAATTCCAGAACTGGCACTGTGAGACGACAAATCGCTCAGAGTGGCATCATCTAGCTTTTGCTGATTGTTTGATGATGGTACAGACGCTCTGTGTAACGACTGTTCTAAATGTCTTAGGCGTATCACTTTTTCTCCCAATAAGCTTCTGGTTCGGTGTAAAGACACCTCCATATCGGTCAATTCCTTCTCTTCCTGGATGAAGAGAATCGAAGGTATACGTGTACCACGTTCTTATAAAAAATAAGGATGCACTTACTTGACAAAGTTGCTGAAGAGTTTGCCTAGCGTTGGCTCCATGCTTCAGTTTCATCTCGTTTTGTTTCTGCTTGAATTGCGTTTTTTGCTTACGAAGACTTTCTTTAGCCCTTCGGATCGAATCCCGTTCTAGATGTATTCTGTGTCTGAAAAATTCTAACTCTGAGCTACCTTCAAACTTTTGCCCATCGGAAAACGGGTACCGTAAGTGGTATGTGTCACCTTGGGAATTTTGTGGAAACTGATCTTCGAGATCTTCCAATTTTTGCAGTTGCTTCCTCAAATTTTCTACTGGAGAACACGATCTGCTGTCTTTACTCTTTGAATTTCCATTTACTCGAGACAGGGATGAACTTTTCAATCTCGAAAATAACTTTCGACGGCTTCTACCGGGTTGGACTTCTACGTCGGACGAATCATAGTCTTTTTGGTCAGATTTGATACAGTGTTTGTCGCTTTTCAAGCTCTTGTCGCTTGTTGAAGTGTCCAAATCTTGTATTAGAATATGTCGAGTTTTGTGGTCGAATTTCGATTTTTTGTCAATATCATGTGCAGTAAGACGAAGGTGTTTAGGAGAGTTTTTTCGGCTGAAAGATGGGGAATTCGATGACCTATAAATCCAAAGAATTTCAAACTCATATATTCTAATAATATATGATATATGCAGACATATAAAACAAAACAAGATAAAACAGAAGATCACAGAATTAAAACGAAAGAAGCTATTCAAAAATTTGTGGAATATAGGGGGATAGTGATAATAGAATGTAAGGAATTTAAGTCAATGCTTGAAACGGTAGTGTGAAAGAAAAGCGACATTGATGAGCTAAAGAACTAATCAATTTGCCGTCCATGGTATTAGGAAAATCATAATTCTATTCTAGATCTACCTACTTACTTTCTCACTGAAGGACTTTTTTCTGTTTCTGAACCGGTAGTGGTGGTTAAGCTTTGTTCTCTTCTTTTGTTACGTTTTTCAATAGATAGTTTTACGTCTGTTTTTAATTTCAGGTATTTTTCTTTCAAACACCTGTACTTCTCTTCCAATAAACGTTTTTCGTAAATAATCTTTTCGTACTTTTCGTCATCGCTATCTTTGGTGGTTTCCTTCGAAGAGAAATTTGTGTTCCTTTGCTCTTCCTCTTTCTACAATAGAATGCACAATAAATTGATTTTTCATGTTAACTTAGAAAACAACAACGGCTATAACCTTGGTTTGACATTCTTTCTGAAGTTTATCGACTTGATTGGAATGTTTCTGGCGAATTTGATCCAAAATAGCGCTCTGGCTTGCTAGGAGATTATCTTTAGTTTCCTCTAACTTTCTTTCAAGTTCCTTTTCCAAATCTATTAGCTTCAGTTTGTAATCCTCTTCAAAGTGTTGTTTAGATTTCTCGAATTTTTCCAAATACGATTGTTCCAACTTTTGTTCTTCATTTTTAAAATGTTCTTGTAGTTGTCTCTTCTGTTGTTCCAGTTTAGTTTCCAGTTTTGTCTTTTCCTCTTTAAGCGTTCCATTACTCCTATGCTCCATTTCTTTTCTCAGTGTTTCTAATTCGTTGCGTATTCTGTCTTCATATTTTCTTTTCTCTTCAACAAGTATTTTTTCCATTTCAGATTTCTGACTTTGTAGTAATTCCTCGCGATACTTTTTTATTTCCGCTTCTCTGTCAAGATCAATGAGTCGTTTTATCTCCTCCTTCTTTTTGTAGCTTTCTTCTTTGAATATTCGTTCTGCTTTGGCTGCATCTTCGACAATGCGCATCTCCAAATTCTCGTCTAAATGAAGATGTCCTTCAGTGGAGCTAGACGATTCTGCCTTTTCTTTGTCTTCCTCTGATTCTGGTGATAATGGAGAAATTATTGGTGGCTCATTCTTTGCTGTGAGTTCTGGTTTAAGAAAATCCAATGGGTCGGGTTTTATAACTTTTAAGTTTGCCTTATTGTTGATTTTGGTCGCGTCGTTGAGTTCTGATTTTCTTACTTTATTATTTGACGATGCCACCTTCGTGGTGTCGTTTTTTTCTACATGTATAACTTTTGGAGTTAGTATGACTTTCATTTTAGGGTTTTTTTCGAATGTTTCTCCGTCCAAATTCAAAAATGAATCGTTTTCTAAATTACTCGGTTTAGAAATTCTTTTGTCATCCTCAAAGTCTTTGAATATTTTTTTATCGTTATTGATTTCGTTGTTAAATTGGTTGATTATTTTATCGCCTAACGGGCTTGGTGTTGTTTCAGGCTTTTTCGTGTTCGATTTAAGGAACATGGTTCCTCCTCCAGTGAGAGTTAGTTCGGCTTTCTCAAGTTCTTTTTTCATTAATAGCGGTTTCTCATCGAAGCTATCAAACAGAGTCAACCCAATTTTTCTGGCGGGTCTTTCTTCTGACTTTTGTCGGAAAAGTTTTGTGTCGTGCTTGGGAAGGATCTTGATGCCAGCGTCGGAGAATCTCGCTCCTATTTCTCCCAATTTTGGTTTCGATCTTAATGGAGAAAGTTTGATGTTCTTCTTGTGTATGGATAGCTGAAGCGGAGGCGGAGGCTCTTCATAACTCGGCAAATCTTCGCGGGTGTATGTAGCATCTTCGGTGGGTTCACCCATACTCAAAGATTGACTTTCTGCGCGAACTTTTACCACCAGATCTCGGTAAACCTCGTCCAGTGGATGCTCCCATTGTGTTTTATTGGTTTCTTTGTTAAAATAATAATAACATTTTCTCGTTTCGTCGTAGCTAAAAGATACATGAGTAAACACACCAGCCGATACTTTCTCTGAAGTTATTTAGAAAATTATTGAAAAAGGGACTCTTACTCTTCTACTTTTTTGATACTGTTAAACGTGAAAGTATTTGCAAGTATGTAATATGTACGTACAATGGTTTCCATCCTGGTGGAAGAGGTTTCATCAACCCCTCGACAGCCAGGGGTAGTAGCTGCGGTTCTGAATCTGGGTCAATACCGATTTTTGACGCATAATCCTTTATTTCTACATAAAAATAAAACATGCTTTATGTATCAACTTAAAGTGCGTTGTATTTGTTCACACATCGTTCTTGTCCATATCTTTTGTCGTGCCTAATTAAAGGGAAAAGATGGTAATTACCGTCTACTGAAGGCTGACTAATCTCATCAAAAACTTCTTCACACGCGACCGATTGGCCTGCATTGGTCATCGCCGCGTTTGGACACTGATAACACTATTCAAACATTTTCAAAAAAAATGTTCGACATGTCACCCATTTGTCACTATGTTGACAACAAAGCCGCCGGCTATGAACGGGAATGGGGTTGATACGAACGATGAAAATAAATAAACGGTGAGGTAGTGCTTCCACCTACGCAATCAAAAATTTCGAAAAGGAAACTGCGTCGGGAATTTTAAATACACTTTTCACCGAATTACTGCAATAGAATTAAATGATTTCGAGAAAATTAAAGTACCAAATAAACAAAAAGGAACTTTGTGAGCTTTTTGGTTGAGTCATTTTATGAGGCAGGCAGTAATAACTACTGAGGAAGCAATCGATATGGACGGGTGCGCTAGTTAGGGTGACATTGAACCCGTATAACGTGACGGAAGTATGAGGGCTAAACTTAATCAACGGAACAAGCGAAAAACATTTTACGTTCACTTTAATATTCCTCATAATAAAAATAAAATATTGACCCGGGGGTTTTCCCCAAAAAAAAAAGAAGAAATTATGGTTACTTATTTATCTCCACTATTTACTAGTAATGCAATTTTTCCCTCGAAATTGATAACTGAAAATAATTTTGTTTATATTAAGTATTTAAAATTTAAAGCAGATGCTAAGAAGCAGTTTCCCAACACAAAAAATATAAAGTAACTCAAATTTATTAAAAAAAAAATGTCTTTGGAATGGTATCTCTACACTCTCAAAGTCTTTTTCAAATTTAGACATCGTTAAAAAATGAAATTTGTTGATTAACTCTGATTAACAATTGAACAATTAAACAAACGAAAATGATCTAGCATATAATGTCGAAATCTCGCAAAAAAATAAAGATATTTTTCCAATGACTTTTCAACTCGAACTAAATAATCCCAAAGAAAATGTTCCCATTAGCTAATAAGCAAAAATTGGTATCATACAATAAATATAAAGTAAAAATGAAATTTTCCAGAAGTTTAAAGTTGGGTGATAAAATAAATAGGTACTTAGGGTAATATTTCAAGAACAACATTATACTAATTCTTAATCTCTGAAATGGTATCATAATAAGTAAATTATGTTCACTTGGGTCTGAATTCCTCTGTAACAATAAATGGTTTAATTCTAATTTAATAGCTGCTAATTATAGGGGTTTCGAAGGATGATAAGAGTAGTCGCCAAAATTGCATTCCCCGATACATAGAGGTCCTCCTTGTAGTTTTATGGCATGTAAATATTAGTCTGTTGAAGCCTGCTGCTCCTGTGGTGAAAAAGGACGAGTGCGTGATAGGGATGCGTCCTGTTACGAGGCCAAGGGGTGGGTGGAGCCTCCATGGAAGCTGCGAGGACCTTATCGATTTCGGTGTGCTCGTGTATCGTCTCGAGATTTTCCACACCCGAACCCGAAGAACGGTGAAAAATCCGGTCATGGAGATGTCGACGACGGAGACGATGGTCAATCCGGGTCCCGGGGTACGCGTGTGGCTATCCGGGTCCGTTTAGTGCCGAAATGGCCGTTCGCGAACATGGAGACCACATAATCTCGAAAATGGGACAGAAGAAACGTCTCAAATGGTGGAAGTACTATTGTAAATCTGACCAGGGGAACTTTTGCACGTGGTGACTCTCTCTATGTCTTTGTGATATCGTTATCGTTGTCCTAAGTTGACGTTTTTATTAGTTTTCGTTAGTTTCGTGTACAGTTTTTCGTTCGGTTTTCGGAAAATCCAACACCACCTTCGATACGCACATTATCTAGACGATTTAAGTACAAACAAAACTAGATCTTTACTATTATAAATGGATTGCTACTCCACACTATCCGCTACTTTATAAAAATATTATGTAAGTGCCTCCTTCTTAACCCTCAACATTCCCAATCTTGTTTAGAAGCGCTATTGGGTACCCAAAAGTTAAGAAAAGATCGTATTGCTTATGCTTAGTATTATAATTAGAAAAGTAGAAGAATGAGAAGAAAAAATGTTAATGTGTGTAAGTTTATTTTTGAGTGTTTTTCCGAATGCTGCGGGTCGTTATGGCACAGGTCAAAAAGGCATGGATGAGTACTGATCTAATTTTCTTGCAATGTTGCCAACTTAATGTAAAACCTCTTGAGCAAACAGTGTCAAGTGTAGTACACGCTGTTAACAAGTTCAATGCGAATGTATGTATGCGGATGTTAAATGTGTGCCGTACTTTTTCATATATATGTTTTATAAGTACTTCAATTGGTGCAATTGTAAAATTCACACGCACTTGTATACCCCTAGGTACACTTGACGAACGTAAAGAGAAAAAGGCAGTTTCAATTATACTCATAATGATACCTTCAACTTGTGCGGAACTTCGATATGTTTTTTAACACTCAGAGAAAGAGTTTGTTATTGTATATTTTAAATTAGGAGGGGGCTGTAAAAATTATTTCTACAAAATATTGAGTATTTAAATTTATTTACTTATAACTTTATGCGTTCAATCAATTTAATTAGCCCTTTTTTGATTCCCTAACCATTTTTAGGTTAGCTTTTAAACCTCTAATCATTCTCATTGAGCAAACACATTTTTTTACTGCAAATATAAATTCAAATTTAATCAAGACTTACAATTTGCATTGGTTTGATAATTATAAAAAAAAATCCGGAAATTAAACGGTTCCTAAACGTAAAAATGTTTATGAAACTATTCGAATTTTAATAAATAATTTTCCTTTGCAGCGCATGTTTTTAAAACCATGGTGGATCTAGGAGGCTATGTAATTATATTAGTGGAAAGGGAGGATAAAAAAATAAAATTATACGGTAAGAAGCCTAAGAACAAATTTTCACAAATTAACTGTGTTACAGTAAGGGCTGCGTTAAATGTAGCAGACTTAATTCAATAAAAATAAAATACGTCAACACGATTAGTAGTTGGTTAAACATTTTTGACTACTTAAAAGAATGGGAAGAAAACGATATTGACAAACAATTGTAGTTCTTTTCGTTGAAATATTCCTTTAATTTAGCGTATACCTTACTGTGTTTTAATAAAAATAGAATTTTATAAACGAATTCAAATAACTAATTCATTATTATGTATCATTTTTCCTTTTACAAATCTTGAAAATGATATAAATTGAAATTTTTTCTTTTGGAAAAAAATATAGGTATGATCCTTATGAAATCAGTAAATCTATACGACAAAAATATATGATTACTTTTTCTATAAAACGCTGACATTGCTTGTCATAATTCATAAAGAACATATAATTTTGACATTTTTCCAATTTACTTAAGTAAAATCTAAAAATTAGGTTCACCAGCTGACAAAGACAACTTAGAAGTGGGCGATGAAATTTTGGAAGTTAATGGCAAAAACCTCGAAGATTGTACTCATACGGAAGTCATAAATCATATTCATCAGGTAGATATTAAGGAACAAAATAATTTTTGGTTGGTTTAACAACACGTTTAATATTTTTTCTAGTGTATTCGATCAAGAACGATATGCCTTCGTGTCAAAAGAAGAAGTGGAGCGCGTTTGGGTAAGTTACAATTCAGTTTTCATTTAATTAAACTTCGTATTATTCGAAGAAAATTATCGACAATAATAATAGTGCTAGCCTTCCTATTTCGGTTTCCGGTTTCTTTGAGGGGCGTTACACTTTGTTCAAAAGATTTTGCCTGACAGTTTTTTCTTAAAATTACAAACTATTATTAGGTCAACTTCTTCCAACTTGACATTTCTCAAGGTATTTTGAGTTGAACGTTCCACAAATCGAATAGGAAGTGGTGAGTGGACTCAGTTACTATTGTGTCCTATCATGTGCTGGTACGTCCATGGATTATTATTATAGTCAATAATACTAAACAACAACTATTTCCTGAAACTTTGACTTCATTAGACTCATGATTTATTTCGGTTTTCTATCCTGACTCAATTTTCGCATTTTCCCAAAACTAGAATATCCCACATTCCTAACTATTTAATTATTTCTCTTTTTCTGTCCCTATTCGCTCTTGCTTTTGTTTCTAACAAGTCTCTAACTATCCCTTAATGTCCCAGGATGTGCCCTTCCATTCTGTCTGTCCTATTCATAGCTATCATTTTCATCATCCAATTTTAAAATCACATTTCAAACTAATCTAGCGTGAAGATAATGAATAATTTAATAAAATAATGAATTCCCTGATAAAGAAATAGGCTCGTTTTTGTAAGGTATTTCTACATGTGTTTAGAATAACATTCATCGGCAGTATTAGTCTATTTATGACATTGCAAAATGCAGAATAGAGTGCATTTTCCAAGTTCTTTCGGCTTCTTGTGGGTGGGCACTTTCTCCGGATTACGCTAGAGGGTAGGGCAGAACACCTTCAACCTCCTTTTAGGAATCCTGGAAATGGATGAGTGATGGTCAGTGTGAGAAAGATGAGATTGACGAAATAAAAACAGGAGAATGAAGGATTATTTGTAAAATATTAGTGCCCTAGCATTTGTCTAAGTGATTTGTGGAAATCACTGAAAAACTCAGACCAGGGCAGATGCAGATGGACCTGGTGCGCGGGCCGTCTCTCAGGACTATGCCGGAGGGTAGAAGGCCCTCTTTAATATCTTTTTAGAAATCATGGGAATTGGTAGGTAGTAGTTGAGATGAGAAAGACGAAACGGAGAAAATGAAGACAGAAGAGAGTTAAATATCATATATGGAATATTACTCTACCAGCATGCGCCTGAATGATCCAAGGATCAAGGAAATCGTAGTGAACATGGATCAGGGCAAATGTAGATGGACCTGGAATCCAATTGGTGTCCTCTGGAATGCTAAGGAATGGTCTAAAGTTTAAACCTCTAAGCTATGACGCTCAGTACATACTGAAAAAAAAAAAATAAGAAACTCTTTTGCTACTAAAAAGTTTGAACAAGGGCAAACGGCCCCGGAATTGAACCCACGTCTTCCCGAATGTTAAGCAATGGTCTAAACCTTCAGGTCATGCTGTAAGGTTAACATATACTGACTGAAAATGGATTTAAATACTGATTCCATTTGATTCATCTTGTGATTTTCTTCCTATCAATTGTGTAGATTGTGCATTGGGAGAGATTCACTTCGTAATTTTTAATGAATCAAGGCCGGCTGAGTTTTCTTTCTCAAAACTTAAGTAATTGAAAAATGTGAGCGTATGATTCTCATTTAATTCGATTGTTTCGTGCCTGGTCGCCTGTACTCGGCTGTGACGTCACCAGGTGTTTTCGTCTACCTGTCGTCATCGACAATAATCCATGAAGTGAACGGTAGCGTGAATACTGTGGTCAGTCCTATGTGGATTCTCGCGACGTAGAAATTCGACTGTTTTCCGACTAGTCGACGATTGAGTGCACCCTAGTGTGTGGATTTTCAACCCTTCTCATTTCCCGGTGCGTGCGTGCTTTTTGTTGTGCGTTCCCACCGACGTTGACGTCCTGACGCGGTGTGATCAGTGCAGTGCGTTAAAACGGGATCGCGACAGTGCAAGTGAAAATCGGATAAATTGGAATACCATTATCGATTCTCTTGGCCACATGTGAAAAGGTAAATTTCGTTCAGCCGTAGGAAGTCGGCCAAAGAAACTTGTACGGCCTCAGCAGGTTTTTAACAGGTCGAATTGTAAAAAATATGTGATACTAAGCAGGAATTTGTAATACAATATTCATCATTTCACCTTTAGAAGGTAGACAGTATTTAAGAAAACTAAACGTGGACAACATACCAGCATATTGGACATTCATTTTGCAATTATATTTAACATACATTGCCCCGTTACAATCGCTTTTATTTTATTTTATAGTTTTAAAATTACTCCAATATGTATCTGGAAAAATTATACGTAATATACACTTATTATTGTACATCGGGGTGATTATATTATAGGCATATTCCCAGCTAAAGCTCAGTAAGTAATACTAATGCAATTTAACCCCATTGGATTACTAATAAATGATTTTTGATATTGATAGTAGGATAGTAGGTTCAATAGTTTAATTTGTTTTTTTAAACCATTTTTTTCTGCAATTTAAAAGAAACACTTTAATCCTTTAATATAAGGACACATATCGGACCTTAATTTTCCAATTGGAAAAATTTAATGTTGTTGATTGTAATCCTTGGTCAGTTTTATAATTTTGAAATTTAAATTGAAAAAAGTTCTATGTAGGTACCTATTTAAATCTTTAATAATGGTTCGTAATATTATTTATTGTAATATTCAATTGCGTAATTCGATTTAACTCTCTTCCATATACGGGTCAACCTAGATTTTTAAATTGCTAAACTGCTTTTTTTACATTTACATTAATATCGAACCTAATAAATAATTTAATCAATTTAAAACACCTTCAATGGTTTAATGTAAATTTACATTGAATAAATTTTTAACCAAATCTGGGCTACAATGGAATACTTATCATTCCAAAAACAATTTATTTCAGATAATTAAATTAAAATTCGGTTAACTTTCGTTCAATGTCAAATAATGCATATTATTTATAACTAATATGCAGCACACCTTATAGCAATTTTTTACAAATATCTTACAACGCAAAAGAACACGAGATGATTCAAATATTACATACCTGTTTAATGGTTTAAGTTCATTCTCTATTTTAATTTGTTGTTTTATCCTAATTCAACTCACAGTAACACCCAGTATATTAAGTAATTCTTCGTGTGACATGCTAATAAATAATAATTGCATATTTTATGGCTTTATGAAACATGGCAGAATATGTTCTTTACTTAAAACTGTTTGGCTAAATAATTATTGTCATTTTTTAAAACCAGTTATTCTTATTAAACAAACTATATATACTTTGTACTTATACAGTCGATAAAAAAGTACAATAAAAAGATAGTTGTACTAAAAAAGAACATGTTTAAAGTCAAAGAAACCATTAAAAGTATTATGTAGAAGGTCAATGTTTGCGTGAAATACTGAAAATGCCGAGAGACTTCAACTAGAGGTTAGAACACAAACCCCATCAGCCTGGTTAAATATTTTTATTTTTCATTGAAATTGGGCACATGCAAATATGGTAATGATAAAGTGGAGAAAGACATATTATTGTACAAGTAGTAATGAGATTTTAATGATTACATTATGTAGAATTTAGATATTTTAATTACTTAAGTATTTGGACAAATTTAATTAACCATCTGCTAATTGTTTCGTAATTATATTATACAGGTGGTATAGAGTTTGATGCTTATTAACATGAGACGCACTAAAAATAAAGCTGAGGATCGAAATTTTGAAGTAAAGTGCCAAAAACATTCAGAGACTTCAACGGTAGGTCAAGAAACGAACCCTTAACCGTAACTACTTTATAGCCGTAGCTATTACACTACACATTGTAATTAACTACTTTTTGTAGTTTATATTAATTGATTTATTATACGAATATACCGTGCAACGTATTTGTCCATTACTTTTGCTGTTAATTTAAAATTAATTATAAATAACTAAATTGCACAAAATTAAAATTGAATAGAGGTGTTGTTTGTAAATTAAAATTAGTGCCTATATATTGATTTTCATAAGAAAGAGTATAGTATGTTTGACAAATGCTTAAAAATAGAAGTGTTCTTGTTATTTATTTATTCCATGAACCAACAACATGAATATCAATGAATAAATTGCGCTTAATTAGGTAAATTGATAAGGAATCTAAGTTTTCAAGGGTTAGAAAGTACATTAAATTAATAGAAAGTGTTGTAAATGCTACTACGATGTGGAAATGGTTGAATGATTGTTTATGTTTTGATATTGAGGATAACACAAATCAATATGGCGTTCTGTAGCCGCCATAATAATTTTAGTAGCTGATTTTCCAAAAAAATCCGCTTTCTTTTCTGTTCTTATGCATATTACGCGGGAAATTAGTACATAGACACTGTTCATCTCTAATTACTTATTAAACATTATCCTATTTTAATTGTTTTATTTTAAATAGATCAAATTGCAGTAGTTAGGTGTTTTTTGTTGGTAATAGTTTAATGCCTATTTAATTTTCTACATTTACTTAAGTATAAAATATTTTTTAAGAAAACCTTGCAGGCATTTGCAACAAATAATTGTTCTGTATGCTTCCTTATTTGCCTTTATCGCCTGTTTTAATTGGAAAAAAGACACTGGTGCCAAAATAGTTTATTTAGCGTGAAAGATCAGAACCAAAATAGGGTCGCAAATAATTTTATTGATGTAAAATCAACATCAATTATTTTATATCAAAATATATACAACCACATTTTGTGTCTGATCTTTTACACATTGTAATAAGAGAAAGAAATGGAATCCATAGTTTCTTTAGCTTTGGGTTCATCTAATAAGCGAAGTTTTTCGAATTGTTTTCTAACAATTTTGGATTATATGCATATAGTAGCACACCACAATATCTTGTAATTTTCAATTTTACACAGCTGGGGTATTTCAATTCGGTATTGTTTTGCCGTAATTCATAGAATTTCGTAGTTCCTTGCTAAAGGTACGATAAGTGGTGATTTGGCAAGGTGTTGATATCAATTTAGAACTTCAAAATTCCATGGGCCATGACATTGAACCCGGAAAACAATATCTATCCAATATTTTATATTATCCATTTTCAAGTTTAGAATTTTTTGGGCTCTTTTCAGTTAAAGAATTAGAGGGCATATATGGAATGTTTCTTTGTCTCCTTTTTAAGCTTGTAATACCTTCAATTGCCAATGTAAACAACTTTCATTCTTAATTTTTATAACGTTTGGTCGACGATACTAGCAAAACTTTTAACGCCAAAAATGTATTTCGTAGTTTACAAATAGAAAATAGGTTTAGAAAAGTATTTTAAATCAAATACAAAATGCTTTTCTCAGAAAAGTATTTAAATGCAGGATAAAAATAGGTCTTTCTTGTTTTGTATTTACATTTTCAATGCAAGTGTTTCAAATCAATCACATCTCTGGAATCAAAGTAGTGGTTTCACTTGTTTTACCGTAAGTAGGCAATATATTAAAAAGGTAATTCGTAATTCGTCGGTAAAATATATAGGAAACACAGTTACTGTGACCCCGCCTGATGGTTTGCTTCTAAAAAAAAAACTGGTCAAAATCGAACGGTAAGTTCTATCCCCAGTCAGCATTTTAAAACCTACTTTCGCCGATAAATTATGTAAAAATGACATTAGAAACTTAATGCAGGCTGTTTCCCGTTCCAAGAATTGTCGTAAAAATTTTTATAGTAACTGTAATCGAACAGACGTATTCAATTATAAGAAATTAAAACAACATTTCTTGTAATAAACTGTTACTTAATTACTTAGTAACAGAAGTACCAGGAAAATCAAATGGAGCTTCGTGTAGCTGAACCCAATAAATCAATTAAACCTAAAATTTCACATAAAAACGTTTAAAACGCGTTTCGAAACCGATGATGCCATCCTCAATTAGAAAGAAAATATTTACTGATTGCTTCAGTTTTATTATTATTTTTATACTTATGTTTAATTAAATAGAAATCACTTTGTAGTACGTATCATTTTTTATAATAGTTTTTGTTTTGATTTTGATTTCGTTTGGAAGAGTGATGAATGAAATGGTTTCGAAAGGGATTTCAGATTTTTTGGAACAATTTGACTTAACTATCGTATGTTTGCGACAAAAGGGCATCGAAATAGTGTACCTGTACAATATATTAAAATCATTTAGTTAAAATTCGGGATATAACTTGATCAAGTAGTTAGTTTTTTAATAATTCACTTGTTTTTGGATATCTTCTTATTATTATATCATACCGAATTCATGGATTCATCGTATGAAATGAGGTAATTGTAATTAGTGTTATGGTATTGTTTTTAAATGTTGCAATTGCACTGACGCAAAAACAATAATAATAAGTGTTATCGCAGACGAATTTCGATTTCACCGTTTTACCCAATGTTTAAATTAACATTTAACTTTCGCAAACATTGACCTACATATAAATCGGCCGTTGTTATCATCGTAACCGCATGCAAACAAACTCTACTTTTAATAAAAACCTACAAACAATTAGTTGTACCGGGTGGATCTTACATACAGACCGAGCATAAAGCAAATCTAAATGGATTGATTCTTATATACATATGGCATAGCAAAATAAACTAGAGTTGCCATTTATTTGAAATGGTGGTATCGTGATTATAATACGATAATATATTAAAGCTTAATACCTATTTTTATTTTAAATACTTTAGATAAAGATAAAGATAATTAAATTTAGTACTGTTTAAGAAAAGGTTAGAAGCGTTCTAAAAAAGGTGAATGATGAGGATACCGTGGATAGAGAAGGTTAGAAATGAAGAGGTATTAGAAAGAATAGGAGAACAGAGGTTACTATAGAAATCAATAAGAAATAAGCGAGTTAGGTTGGTAGGCCTTCTCAGGCATGAAGGTGTGATCAGAGATATATTGGAGGCAGAAACAGGAGTTAAGAGGAGTAGAGGTAGATTAGATTACTGTTCACAAACGGTTAAGGATGTGGGTTGTTCTAGTTTTGGGGAAATGTGAATATTAGCTCAGAA